CATTCAAGAGCTGATTCATATTAACACCTTATAATTGGTTCATTCTTCCAAGACGTGTAGTTATCTTGTTTCTAGAAACTTAGCTGTACTAGCTCCACACAAGGCAGCAGCTGTCTTAATCACAAAGCACCAAAAACTGATACAGGTTAGTTTGTGCACCCACAAACACAGAAGTCACCTGGAGTCTTGCTAAAATGCAGATGTGCATTCAGTGGGGCTGGGCAGAGCCTGAGTCTGGAAGCCTTGCAAGCTCTTAGAGGGAGTTCCAATAAGAAGGAGTTCCCGGGACTCTTCCCTGAGGGCTGCACACTTACTGCTGGGAATTCCATGAGCTCTTGCTTCCTCCACCTTTCCACTTAGTATTCCAACCCATTTTACTCTTTAATTCCAAGAGATTGGGCTTGTTTTTGAAAGAGTCTATAATCTTTTCTAGATTTTTGTCTAAAAATTAACTTCAAATTTTATTTGATGAAAAAACTTCTTTATAGTTAAGTGAAATTTAAAATAAGAAGAAAGCACACACACAAAACCAGACTCTAAAGCCTTTGCTTTTAATTATTGTGCTGTTTTTCTATGGTTTATAATATCAGGCAGGTATAATTTTTTTTTGATGGGACTGGGGTTTGAACTCAGGGTTTTGCTCTTGCAAAGCCACACATCCAGCCCAGGCAGGCATAATTTTATATGGTTGTTATATAAACAACAATATAAAGAAATGATTTTTCTTTTCTTCTTAATTTTAGATAATATGATATTCTCCCCTCCCCCTATCACTATGCATGCTTTACATGGTATGCAAACCTAGGACCTTGAACATGCTAGGCAAGCGCTAAGCCAGACCTCCAGCACTATGTATTGTTTATAGAGATTATTTTAAAATTTGTCACTGCATCATCACTTGTCATAATCATGTTTTAATATAAAATAGTCATGGTAGTAGAGAGGGGATTTGTAAAGCAAACATCTGGAAAACGATGACCATGGACATTGAATGTCACCCAGTGGATGTCATGGGGTCAGAATGGATCCTTGATTCTGGTGGATCAGGAGACCAGACAATCTAAGAGATTCAGAAAATGACCAGATTAACTTCCATGGGTGAAGGGACCTTTAGAAATAATGTAAAGCAGGTAGCTCCAGAAATCCTAAAACACCCCTGTGCTGCTCCCATGAGCAGTTGTAAAGAGATGAGTTATTTTGGTATTACTTTAATAGATGCCTGATATTTCCATTGAGTAGATGTGATGTTATCCACTTTTGGACATTTTATTTCCAGTTTTCCCTGATTATCTATCTATCTATCTATCTATCTGTCTATCTAGATGCTGTTATGAGCATCTTTGTATATATGGATTTTATTTTCTTTATTTTTTGAGATAATGGGATTGAACTCAGGGCCTTGAGTTTGCCAAGTGCTCTACCACTTGAGCCTCACCCCCAGCCCTTTTGGTTTTAGTTTGCTTTTCAGATAGCATCTTGCACTAACTTTGCCCAAGCTGGCCTTGGATTGCAATTCTTCTGTCTTCTGGGTAGCTGGGATTATAGACGTGTGCCACCACATCTGGCTAGATTTTCATGTTTTTATAAATTTGTTCTATCATGAGTTCAGGGACAATTGGATTGCTGGCTTATAGGGTGTGGGCATTTTCATGACACCTGATGAGTCCTGACTTGAATCAGGTGCTTTTCACGGGGTGGCACCTGATTCCCATGCCCTGGATTTTCCAAAGTGTGTTGTAATTTTTCTTTATCTCCTCAAACAAAACAAAAGCAAAAGAACACATTGTTTCAGTCCATAATAGTTTACTCACAGTAAGAGTTGAACATTTTCGCAGGTGATTGTGGAACATATATCCTGTCTCACTGGTGAATTGTCCAACTTGAACTTGAAAGATGCAGTTTATTATTTTTCCTAATTTTACTTAATTTTTTTGTGGGGTTGGGGATTGAACCCAGGGCCTCTGGCAAGTGCTTTACCAGTGAGCTACATCCCCAGCCTGAAAAATGCACCTTAAATGGCGTTCCTAAGGGCACACAGGGAGTAGCTATGTGAGTCGAAAGATAGAGACAGGTTGACCTTTGTTAGGTACCAAACCCGAATGCATTGCCAAAATGCAGAGGTGCATGGGTTCATTCTGGTGAGTCGGGCCATCTGTTTTCACGTTAAATAGCTCAGAACAGCCTGATCCCCTCTTCTGGCTGTTTTCTTGTTTATGATCATATCTCTTGGGTATAGGGTTGACAGCTGAGCTCATTTTCTTTTTTGACAGTACTGGGAGTTGCACTCAGACCCTCATGCTTGCTAGGCAGGTGCTCTACCACTGAGTCATGTCCTTAGGCCCATGAGAGCTGAATTTAAAGCACAGCTGTGTTCCCACTGGTATAGCAAATAGTGTTACTGTGAAGTCTTAAAAATTGTTCTAATTTCCCAGAAAGAAGAAATTAAAAAGAATATATTCATCATATTTTACCAAGGAGAGCAGCTCAGGCAGAAAATCGAGAAGATCTGTGATGGGTAAGAGGAAGTTTTGTGGCCCTGTTGTGGTGATGGGGTCAGGATTGGGTAAAGACACTCAGCGCACAGTACACACGATTGGTCTTTGAAGCCAATTGGGATTTTAGAATAATTTTCCTATACCTGATAAGATGATGTTAAAATACAGCTGACTTTTCATAGCTGTGAGAATAAGAACAGAAAGAATGTGAGAAAACCAAATTTAAAGGCAATGAAAAGTTGACGTGAGACCATTTCAGCTTCTTCCTCATATATCCCTTATCTGTGGCTAAAGAGTAGGCAAACTAAGCCCTAGTGTGGTTGTGCACCCCTGTAATTCCAGAACCTTGGTGCTGAGGCAGGAGGACTGTGAGTTCAAGGCCAGCCTGGGCTAAATAGCAAGGCACTCTCTCTCTCAAAAAAAGGAGGAAAACCGCATGGTTAAGTCATTTCTGACTTTGCAGAAGTGTCTTAACATACAGTCCATAGAAGTAGAAATTACTCAGTGCAGGACTTTACATGGAAATAAATTCTGGAGAGAAAAGAGATGAGTCAAGCCCACCATCTATTTCCATATCAGCTCATTGGTAGGTTTTAGGGTTTGAATGAAGCCCATTCAACAGCAGAGCCACAGCTTCAGATCCTAGAGCAAGGGCTGAGCTGGGACTCCCTCCAACTATTACTCATTTTCTGAATGCAAAGAGGAGGCTGTTCTAGGAAAGGGTGGCCACCTGGCTCAGGTCAGCAAACAATGGCAGGAAGAAAAGGGATTACAAATGCATTTCAGCATCAACCCACATGTATGTATTAAACACAGGTTTCGGGCTACCATATACCCCTGCCCAGAGCCTGCAGCGGAGCGCAGAGAGATGCTGGCTGGAGTCAACATGAGGCTGGAAGACCTAGTCACTGTGAGTGAGGGTTTTGAGCAGTGATCTGGAAGGGGCTGCCTCTGCCATACAGTCCTGTCCCCCGGGTCCTGGCTGGAGGGTTTGCTCTGGTGTGCTGGTTGTGGCTGTAGAAGATTGCACCATTAGCAAACAGTATTCACTAAGCTAGGGTGATGATGCAGTATGACAGAAATGCGTTGTCCGGGCTTAGAGTTGACCACAGCCTTCAGGCAGCTACCCTAATCTGATCAAAGGAGCCCTTTATTTCCAGCCTGGTGTGTCTACATCCAACTAACCAGGAACTAAGTAACTGAGCCAGTTTGGCCAGTACTGAATTGGTTAAGCCTATCAGCTACTTCTGTACAAACAGCAGTGAATGCTTGCACATCCCAAATTCTTTCCTTGGTGAAGTCTATCACCTTCCAGGGTGACATCCTGTACTTATGTGAGTAGAATATTCTCGAATCACAGCAGCTTTGAAAGTATGTGGTCGCTAAAGTCAGCTGGGCCTCTGTCTGCTGATATATTCCAAACTGGTGCTGTTCAACGGAAGTTTCTGTCACACAGAAGTTTTTGTCACACAGTTCTGTGTGACAGAAACATCTGAAGCCCACACTGTCCAGTGCTGTACTCGGGAGCCACATATGTTGGGTGAGCTCTTGAAACATGGCTAGTACCACCAAGGAACTGAATTTTAATTTTTATTTGATTTTAATTAAATCTAAATTTAAGGAGCTGTGTGTGACTTCTGTCTAGGCCATCATAATTTTAGATCCTTACTGAGTTTAGAAATTCAGTTGGTGCCTGTTTTCAAAGCCTTTGGCTAGCAACATTTACCTTCCCAGAAAATCTGTCTAATTTCTTTAATATCTTTATTCCTTCTTTGTCACTTTCACAACTGTGTTTCCCTCAAATAGTTGAAGGAAGTTCTCCCTTCTCCCAAATACTCCATGCTAGATTTCAAGAAGATGCCATGTGGAGAACGGGAAAAAAATTATGCCAATCCTGCTTACATTTAGTGTGCACACAAATCCCTGTGGTGGTCCTCCTTGACCCAGCACTGACTTCTCTCCTTCTGTCCAGCTGAGGCCAAGATGAGTCTGAGATGTCACCTGGTGTTAGGCAAGTCTTTCTGGTAGTGCTCTTATAAGAGGGATCTCGGGAGCAAGCAGGTGACATGGGCCAGGTGCAGTCAGGGGATCAAATGACCGACTGACCAGAAGGGTCTGTGCCTGGAGTCAACTCAGAGATTGGGGAATCATTTCTCGTGCTTATACCAATATTCAGTCAAAGTCTCTTAGCAGGCATTTCTTTCATAAAGGAGGTGTAAGCTTTTCTTGGAAGGGTGAACTTCCAAGGCTTATGAAAGTTTTATCTCTGCCAAGGAGGCCTTGTCTCCTGAAAATCCTTAGACTAGGTTGTATCATACCCTAAGGGACCCTGGGAAACACATAAGTGAGCCTGTGGCTGTCACTGATCTTATAGCCAGATGGGTCTCTTACAATACACTCCAGCAGCCACATGTAAAGATTACAGAAAAAGATTACTGTATTTGTTGTGTCATCAAGTACGAAAACTAATTCCATTAAATAAACTTTATGAAAGCCAAATCATCCATCCATCCATTCCTTCACTCATTCATTCAGCCGCCATTTATGGACCATGTATGCAAAGCGTTTTGGCAGTTGTATTGATGTCTATGGGAAACTCTAACAAACTGTCACACTGAGGTGGATTAAAGCAACATAAATGGATTCTCTCATAGTTCTGGGGGCTGGAAGGCTAAGATCAAAGTTGACAAACTGGGCGTGCTCCCTCTGATGATGCTGAGCGAGGGTCCTCCTTAGCTCTTCCAAAGTCTGGTGGTTGCTAGCAAGTCCTGATGTTCTTTGACTTGTATGTTTGTCATTTCCATCCCTGCCTCCATGGTCACATAGTGTTTTTCCAGTGTGTCCCCATCACCAAATTTCTTATAAGGACACCAGTCCTATTGGACTAGGGCCCACCCTAATCCAGTATGACCATGTCTTTTCTTGATTACATCTTCATAGACCCAAATAAGGTCATAGTCATGTGTACCAGAGGTTAGGACTTCCACATAATCTTTTTTGGGGGACACATTCAACCTGTAACAACAGGACTACTTCGCTTGAGGGTGCTAGGCTCCAGTAGGGAAGGTAAACCTGCCATGAGGGGTAAAGCATCTCCAGTAAGCTCCTTCCCTCTCAGAGTAATGAGCCCAGGGCAGGGCGAGCCACTGTGGCTGATGAGCCTCCCTGTTTGCCACCATGTCAAACACCAGGAATGTTCCTTGTTTTTCTGTGTTGTTGTTTGCTTAGGTCATAACACAAACAGAATCTCACCGCCAGCGCCTGCTGCAAGAAGCAGCTGCCAACTGGCACTCTTGGGTCACCAAAGTGCAGAAGATGAAAGCCATTTACCACATCTTGAACATGTGTAACATCGATGTCACCCAGCAGTGCGTCATCGCTGAGGTCTGGTTCCCAGTGGCAGACACTGGGCACATCAAGAGGGCGCTGGAGCATGGCATGGTGAGTGGTGGGTAGAACTGGGAAGCTTTCACATCGACCCTGTCAGCCTCTCTGCAGGGCTCTCTGAGGTTGTTGACCTTGTGAACTTTGCAAGTAGTCAGAGTGTCGCCATCTTTGTACCTTCAGTTCTTAACCCAGTGCTAGGACACATAAAAGAAACTCTTTTCTTCACTATTTGAGAATGAGTTAACGTTCCTTTGAGCTGCAGTGAGTATAGATCGAGCACTGATGTGCCAGTAACTCAGCTAGTTGTGATGGCAGGTTCCACAGTATGGCTGCAGGTACCACCCATCATCTTGTAGAGATGATGGTCTAGCTGGAGAGACAAATAATGAAGCCCCTATAATAAGAGCTGAAAGGCACAGATGACTCACCAAGTGCCAGTAATGATATCAAGCCCTGTGCACCATTCACTAGGCACCAGAAATAGATCTAGGGCCATGGGGCAGACCACAACCCTTCCTAGGCTTTCTAGGAAGGGAGATGGATAGTCACATGGCCCGAGAATGTGATTTCAGGATTGGAAGTCAAACAGGAGGGTGATGAAGGATGGGGCGGGAGTGGGGCTTGTTCTGATCACCTGTTTACCGCATTAAGGAAGGAAGGGATCCCCTGCCCTAGTTAATACACACGGCCAAACACGGGACACGTAAGCCTGGACAGATGAGACTGGTGGCCACATATACTCAGAGCCCATGTGGAAGGATCCCACATGGGGATTGCACTTGCACCTTGCACGTGGGACAGAGTAAACCTGTAGGGCCTTAGGGCTCAGGCTTTGTAGTGACAAGAGGGTAGGGTGACATTTGGTTCCTATTGGAGGATGTGATGAACTTATTTGAATCATTCATAGGGTGTTAGATGAAGCCTGCTGGGGTGAGAACCAGTGGGATCTGGCTGGTGGGGAACTTGGGTGGAAAGCTTTCCTTCTGGATAAGTGGCACATCTAGTGACAGCAGGGGGACTCATAGCAACTAATGCCAAACAAGCCCCTCTGAGTAGCTGGCCTCTGAGAAGACTGGAGCTGGGTGGGAGGAAGACTTCCAGGCTGAGGGATCTGAAGGTAAAGGGCGTGTGGTGGGAAAGGACAAGGAACTGTCCTTATTCACTTTGTACAAATGAGGAAACTGAGGCAGAGAGTAATAACAAGTCAACCACGATGCTGGACCAAGGAGGCAGGATTTGAATGCAGGAAATGTTCCTTTTAACCTCTATACACTAGAGTGTCCTTCCCTTCACAGTCCCCAAACTACTCAGAAGGGACTTTTTAAACAGGCATGTCTCCTGGACTGGGCAGGGCAGAGAGTGCTTCCTGGAAGAGGTGGTCCTTGAGCTGGACCACAGTGGAGTAGTCAGTGAGCAGGAATATATATGGATGGGCACTAGGGTCACATGGCAGACCCCAAGGGTATATGGGGCTTGGTTTTAGTCCCACTCTGGAGTAGCATGATATGGTTTGTGTTTTAGAAGCACTTTGTGCTGTGTGAAAACAGGGTATGGGGAGGTGGTCTGTAATTACAGTCATCCCGTAATCACAGAGGGGTAAGGTCCTCCAAGGCCACTCGGTTTCTCCAGTCCTCTGAAAGAATGAAAGTACTTCCCCAGAAAGAATAGAAGACCCTCTGTGGGTAGGAACTAGAGGAGGTGTACGTGTGAAGGGAGAGTGTGTGGTTGGTACTACCACCATCATCATCGACACTAAGCCATGTGGCCTATGCCAGGTATGTGTCAACTGCCAGAGGACACATACAAAAAGAAAGAAAAAGAAAGCTACAGTCCTTGCCATTAAGAGGTGCTAATCACACACCATGGCAGGAGAACATTACAGTGCAGTAAGAAACTCCTCCACCAGCTGTATGACCTTGAGGCAGTTACTTAGCCTCTCAGTGCCTCAGTGTCCTCATTTCTGAAATGGGATTTGTCCTCATGGCATCGTGTGGAGGACTGAGACTGACTTCCATGAGCACTCGTTTGGCCGGTGTTAAGTCCCACTGAGTTTGACTATGGCAAACGCTTGGGTTTTGGAGTGGCTGTGGGGCTCCTAGCACGGACTGTGTGGAGAATGGTGAAGTGGAGAGATGGCTAGAACAGACTTGGCCTCTTTTCATGGGGAAGAAGCAGAGATACCAATGGAGGATTAAGTCAATCTCCTAAGGAAGTCATGATTGCAAGACTAAAGAAATTGACTTCATTCTTTGGGAAAGAGGACGCCTTTGAAGATTCTAGAGCTGGAGACAGAGGTGGATAGAGTAGCGCTTCTGGGTTATTTTATCTCAGGAGTGATTAGGTGGGGGAGGGGTAAGATAAACAGAAGGGCCAAAGGCTGGAGGGTGGGAGGAGGCTTGACTAGGTGCTCGGAGAAGAGGGATCCGGAGGGAGGTGTACCCATGCCATGGTAGACTGACTGGTTGAATCAGGAGGAGGGCGAGGCGACTGATTCCACTTTAGGAATCAGGGAGAACGGTGGTTCTGCAGAAGGAGCCAGGGAAAGGGAGGACCTGCTCTCGGGCAAGTGGGTGAACTCAGTTTTAGTCTCCTGCATTTTGTGGAGTTGGTGAGGCTGCAGCATTTGCAAGCCTAGCCAGGCAATTAGAAAAGAATGGGATGAGGGGGAGGGCTGTTTGGAAGACAGGGATGAATTGACAAAGTGGGGGAGCTCCAGAGGGAGAGGATGGAGGGTGAGGGAGGAGCAGAGAGCTGAGGAGGGGAGGAAATCAGGAGGGCTCTGTTCCCCAGGGCTCTCCAGGGAGATGAATTAGGTAAGTACTGGGGGCACTAGCTTTGCACGATGGGATTCTCAGAGAACATACTTCTGGAAGGTCAGCGCAGCTATCTCAGTTCTTGTGTATGGTGAGAGAAGAGTCCAGGCAAGACACAAAGCAGAGTAGTAAAAAGTAGAGTTTATTAAGATTATTAAAGTTTAAGACACTTGCAGTGGTGAAAGTGGGTTGACTCAGAAAGAGAGATCAAGAATGATGGTCTCTTTCCCCCTTGGCACAGTTTTTGCTGAAGTTGATTGACATGAAAGTTGTGAAAGAATTTCAAGTCTGAAGAATCACTCTGTGACTGTGATAACCCATGACCAGCTAAGAAAACCCACAGGGAAAGTGTAAAAATACAGTAAGATTGTAATGACAAGGTAATGACACCTAAACCTCATTAGACCAGGTGCAGGAGGACCGCACAGTAAGTAACATTCCAGAGCGAAGTTTATCTTGAGAAGGATCTGCCTCCTCCTCATCGGTTTGCACCAGGCCTCTTCTCTACCGGTGACTTTGTTTTGCAGACATTTTACAAGGACACGGAGTCAGAAGCCTAGCTCTAGAAGAGTTCAGCTTGCAAGATGTAAGCAAGCAAGGCCATGAGAGGGACACACGTATGCCCTGAACCGAGGAGTGTCAGATTTTAGGTTCCCTCTGCACAGCCCCATCATTCATTGTCTGACTGTTGCCTATCAAGGTCAAGAGATGTCCCGAGTTCATGTGGAGATTCATGTACTGACTCCCAGCCCACGACTCTCGTCCTGACGTCTGTCCCCTGCTCTTTTTGCAGGAGCTCAGTGGTTCTTCCATGGTCCCCATCTTGACAGAAGTGGAATCCAGAATAGCTCCCCCTACCTTCAACAGGACCAATAAATTCACAGCTGGCTTCCAGAACATTGTGGACGCATATGGTGTAGGAAGTTACCGGGAGATAAACCCAGGTAAATGAAATGTTGCACAATGGGTTGAAAGTGGAAGTTAGGTCAGATGTACCTGTCAGGATCTGAGAGGTGAAGCTGTTAGAACTGTGACATTCTTCAACTCTTACTTGGTTTACCAATGCCCTGTTGCCCTGTGTTATGTTCTATAAGTACTGACTAGTGCAAGATTTGTTCTTTGTCTGTACCAACTTTTTTTTGGAAACAAGATCTCACTATGTATCTCAGGCTGGCCTCAAACTTATGATGCTCCTGCCTTTGCCTCCCAAGTTCTGGGACTACAGGTGTGTGATACCATGCCTGGCTATTCACCTCTCCTTGAAATGGCAGCCCCATCAGCCAGGCAGCTGAATTCAGTTCTTTTTTTTTTTTGGCCGTACTGGGATTTGAACTCAGGGTCTCACACTTGCTAGGCAGATGCTCTACCACTTGAGCCACTCCGCCTGCCCAGTTCTTGTTGTCTTTTCTGAGTCAACCAGGGCCATCCCTAGCATCTGCAGAGTGCTGTGGTTAATGTATGGGAAAGACAAATCCCTAGGACTTGGGTCAGGAGATTTATTCTTAGGGCCAAGTGCTGCAGGGTCTTGGTAACTTGGTTAGTGAAGTAGAGGAGTAGAATAGGTGTCTCCTGCTACACGGGGCATGGTGCTGGTCTCCAGCCTGAGCCCCAGTCTAACTTGGGATTTAAAGTGCCAGGGCCTCATGGGGTCGGTGTATCTGTGAGTAGAAGGTGGTGTGTGGTATGTGCCAATTGTGGAGCCACAGACAAGATGCTGTTAGAAAGAATATGTACAAGTCAGAGGTAGAAAAGTGGTTTTAAATCCCATCAGACTTTGGGGTCATGGACAAGTCACTTAACCCCTGTTAGACTCAGTGCACATGTAAATTGAGGAAGAAGAGTCCCTACACATGGGCAAATGGGGGCAACCAAGGATGGGGGGTGAGGTTGGGGAGGGACAATCAGGAAACACAAGGAAACGACCTTGAGTGTGGAAGCCTCTGCTTGGGAAGGGGGCTGAGGAAGTTCGGACCTCAGGCTGTTGTGGGTCTCACCTCCAGCTCCCTACACCATCATCACCTTCCCCTTCCTGTTCGCCGTGATGTTTGGAGACTGTGGCCATGGAACCGTGATGCTGCTGGCGGCCCTGTGGATGGTGCTTAACGAGAGGCGCCTGCTCTCCCAGAAGAGCAGCAACGAGGTGGGTGGCGGGCAAACAATCCAGAGGCCGAACAGGAAAATGTTTTCACCAGCAGAGTGACATGTTTTTATGAAAAATAAGGGAAAGGCACAAAAAACCCAAAGAGGCAAAATTCAACACAGAACTCCTGGCCAGACCTTCTCAGGAAGGTTTGATGCAGTCCACTCAGCATTTTTGGTGTTTTGTCCAATGGCTTGACAAAACATTGATTTTTTTTTTTTTAAATATGGCACTGGGAATTGAACCCAAGGCCTCATGCATGCTAGGCAAGTGCTCTACAGCTAAGCCCCACCTCCAGCCCCCTTGTTTTTTTTCTAACAATATTTTTTTTCTCTGATTATAAAAGCAATACATATTCATTGTGAAAATCAGGAAGCTATAACAGTTTACTCACCTAAAAAAATCACAATGGATGTTTTTGGATATCTTTTCTTCTTTGTGTGTGTGTACTTGTCTATAAACACATAATTTTCCAAAAATTAGCATCAAGGAATCTGCATTAATTGAAGTTTCTTTTTTTCAAAAAAACTTAAAATCCCATGCATATTGGTTTATGGCAAGCCTGTGACAAGCCTGGTTTCCCAAAAGCCTGTGACTGAGAAGTCCTGAACATGGTTCTTCACACTGTACTCAGAGTTTCTTCGCCACCACCCAGGTCCCTTGAAGGAGTGTTATGAAGTTGAGGCACTTAGAAATCTGCCCTGGTTAAAGTTTATCAGTCAGTCACTTTATATTTCTGGTAATACACTCAACAAAGCGGAAACCTGCCTTTAGCTATGTTCTGAATTGTAAGAAAGGCTGCAATCTTTCATCACAGGAGGAATTAGTTAGAGCAAGCTCAGTGATGTCATTGTGAGTTAATCATAAACAAGGTTAGTGACAAAATGAACCTGGGAAAGATGCAGTGTTCTATGACAGCTTAACAGGTGTTGTTTGCTAGGGTCCATTTAAAGTCGCAAAGTTGCATTTCAACAATTTTTGGAAAGAATGACACACACATCTGTCATCATAAGAAAGTGGTTTTTAAAAATCTCTTAAGCAGGTGCAGTTACACAGAGACTCAACTTTATAATGACAACACCCCAAGCAGCATAGCTGTGGCTAGCCATGGATCTGCAGCCATCCGAGGATAGCTTGAGGCTTATGTTCTGGAGGCACCTGAGACCATGGCCTGCCAGTTTCTGGTCCCTTCCTCAGCAGGGGAGGCCTCTGCATGTGTTTAACCTCATTATCTGGCTAGGGCTGAGAGAAAGAACGTGGGACTTCTGTGATTTAGTTGCTACGATGTTAAACCCAGTCCATGGCTCTCTGATTCACCTTCATAAGCCCAGGGAAATTGGGCATGTGTGCCCTTTCTCATTGGATTATGAGGTCTGGCTAGGTCACATGACCCCTCCGAGGGGGCCCGCACTAGTGATGCTGGAGACATCCCATCGCACACCCCCCTCTGGCATCTCTTCAGAGCCTCTGACGCCTGTCCTCTCTGTTTCTCTGGGCCAGATCTGGAACACCTTCTTCAATGGGCGCTACTTGATCCTACTTATGGGCATCTTCTCCATCTACACGGGCTTGATCTACAATGATTGCTTCTCCAAGTCTTTTAACATCTTTGGTTCTTCTTGGAGTGTCCGGCCCATGTTCAGGAATGGCACATGGAGGTAAGTTCACAGCCTGAGATGACAGAATCACAGGCCATCTGGTGGCTTCAGTGACTGTTTCCATGGCTGGGAGAATCTATACCAGGGTCTACTCAGAGCTATGCCTGCAAATTCATCCAAGAATTCAGTTTTATCTATTGAGCATAAGACCTGTACCGGTCACTTCTGATATATGGAGATAGATTTTAAGATTTCAGTTCAATTAGATGTATATTAAGGTGTACAGACCACGAACCAGGCACTGTTGCCAAAACCTGGGGTAGGGAAGGAATATAAAGAGGTGTCTTGGTATGCGTGATGGCAGCAAGGCTTCCTGGAGAAGAAGGTGACTTTTGAAACACACTTTTCCCTGGCTGAGAAGTAGAGGAAGAATGAAATTACACATCTGGACATTTAGGAACAACAGCTTTGCTTTAAGAGAAGCCGACGCAGACTCTGAACTATGTAGATTATCAGTCTCCAGTATTTTCAGGACCCCAGGTCCTCCACAGGGTCATTGCCTTTGGCTGCTCAGGGTGGCTCGATTTCAGCCTTAAGCAAGGGAGTTGATATCAGATGAGCTCACAATGCCAGCTCCCTGGATTGGCCTTCCACTGACAGTGAGGAGGGCATGGTGGGGGCAGCTGGTGAGGAGGTCTGGGGGCTGCAGGAGAGACACCCAGAAGCTTTCTAAACCCCATAGTCCACACCTCCTGTACACATTCCATGGTTCCTTTGGAGTTAATCACACAGATATTCATCAGACTGGAAACACAACACTTCAGGAATGTGGACTTTTATCGGGAGGGAGAAAGATCTTACAGTTGGAGAGAGGTCAGAGCAATGAACTGGGAGGGCCCTGCAGGGTAGAAAAGAACAAGGAGAACCAATAGAGGTGTCACCAGCCCTGCACGATTTAGGGCAGCATGTGTCACATGCCCAGGATGCCCACAGAAGTTTCAGGACTGATCTGCAAACCTACAAATCCTAGGCGATGTTTGTTAGCATCTGTCTGCCCAGCTTCCTGGGGGTCAGTGTAAGGTTTTCCTGTCTTGGTCTGGAACTTTGGGTTCAGGACTGAAGTGAAGGGAAAGAGGTGGATGGAAACACACTTGCAGCCCTCTTGTCCTGTCTTCCCCAAGCACAGGAGGATTGTAACATTTCTAGTTAAGGAAATTGAAGGATTTTACTTGCTTGCAAAATCTGTGTAGTGAGTAGCTCAAGCGTCTACAGTATAAACCAGAACCTCATTGTCAGTGAGGCAGAAGAAAACTCCGGTCATCCATCAGAGCTGAAGTACACAGCAAGCTAACTTTGGTCACTAGCCACGGCCTAGGTCATGGGCCTGATGTTCCTAGCAATTGACATTTTCTTCAGACGAAGACCACCAGAAATGTGCCCATGGTCACCCAAGTTGGGTGTATTGACTCAATGAGGGGAGTGGTGTGCCAGTGGGAGCCATGGCATCTCAGTAAGAGGGTGCTAGAAGGGACTTAGAAGGTTTGGCCTGGGTTAGAATGGGGGGATGTTTGGTCATTTTTGTGGTTTGTGGACAATGTCCGTCTTTTTGCCTGTCTTTGGGTTCAGGTATGGAATGGTCTTGTTTTGTCTTGCTCCGTCCTAGTCACAAGGTAGCCTGGTTTGAGTTGGTGTTCTGTGAGGTTGTAAAGTTGTTCCTGGTAGACACTGTGGCCTAGCTGTGGGTACCAGGCCAGTTCCCTCCTGCTAGGGGTGGCTATTCCCTTGGTTGGCACAAAACACACATCTCTGCTAATGAAGGCAGCCATATGCATGGCATAGACCCTCAGGCCAGGGGTGGTGTCCAGGATAGTCCCCAAGGGCCAGCTGTTTCCACTGTACATGGAGGGTGGGGCCAGCACACTGAGACTTCCTGGTGGGGAGCCAGGAAGCTGGGGGCAGTTTGATCTGAGACCATAACACCTTGCTGTAGGAGGGAGGAGTCTGTCAAGATGGTCAGCCTTTGGTCCATAATTTCAAATACCCATTCGTTGGGCCTTTCCTGAGAGGCTGTTCTCAAAGCCCCTAATGTGAGTGTGCCCTTGAGACTTGCAGAACCAGTGAAAAATTCCTCCCGTTGTCATTCATGGTTTTGGTTGAAAAGTGACACAGATTTAGATATTTAGCAGATTATGGTTTTTTAGAGCTGAGTTTCACAGAGATCAGGATCTATGTGTAGAAATCCATCTGTCCTTCAGGATCGGCCGAGGTGTTGACTTGTAGCAATAACCTGGGATGTGGTTGGTCAGTGAGATCATGACTGGTGGCATTATCATTTTTTTTTAATCATTGTTTTATTTTATTTTGGTTTTTTCCCCCTTATCCTCTCTGTAGTGATCATGTACTGGAGGCAAATCCATATTTACAGCTGAACCCAGCCACACCAGGAGTATATTCTGGAAACCCATACCCATTTGGGATTGATCCGGTAATAATGTCTTCTTGGATAAAATATTAATTGTGTAAAAGTGTGTTGTTGAGAAGATCTCTGGCTAGAGAGGAAGAAAGTACCAGAACCCATTAAATCAACAAGATTGGTTTGAGATAGAATAATACGGATCAGAGGTTTCGTGACACACAGAAGAGGATTCAAGTAAATGCACCGGCTGTCCCCTGTACTCAGCCCCAGGGGCATTTTCCATACAGTGCTGACACCTGCTTCTCTCACCATCAGCTGTTCCTCTGGTGGTAGTGATTACTTCTTTGAAAAGCCCTTGGTTACCTGGAAAGTTCTCGTGTTTATTAAGCTATTTAATATCCTAACTTTGGCATTTTCTATTTTTTTAATAAAAAAAATTTTTTTTTGTGGTACTGGGGTTTGAACTCAGGGCCTCAAGCTTGCCGGGCTGGTTCTCTATCACTTGAGCTCTCTAACTTTGACATTTTCTTGAAGTGGGTGGCAACTCTCTTTTTCATAGTAAAGTATGGATTTACTTTTACTGATAGAATCAATATAATTTTGAAACAAAGGCATATGCTTCATTTTATTTATTTGTTTATCTATCCTAGTAAAGTCGATGTAGAACAAACAAACTAAAGGTGACTCCTCACACGGCCTTCAGGTTACAGTTGTGAGCTCAAGCATATAAAGCCAAACATGTGACCGCCCAGTAGACACTGCCACCAGGTGGCAGCCTTGTGCTCCAAATGACTTACGAGCAGTGTAGACTTGAACATGGTAAATACTGTCCATTAACGTTTTCTTCTCTGCTCTTTCTGTAGGAGACTTCAGTTTTAGTCTCAATAGTTGAGAGTAAACAGTACTAGCCCTAACAGTGGTTCTGCAGTCTCTTCTCTCCTGTTTGTCATTTCCCTCTTTGGTTTTTCTGAGTCCTCTTGTTTTCCCTTCTCCCCACTGTAGTAAAAACAGTAAATATCTCACAGGATTTGTTTGCATTTGCCACCCAGGAGAACTTGCATTTTAAGTTTTATCAAAGTGGGTCAAATCCTTGAAAGCTGGTTTATAAGCTTCAAAGTGTTATTTTGTTATTTTTCCTACACTGGAAGGCCTTAGTCAAAGGAACATCATGGCCGATAGGCGGCCGGAGGAGGCAGGCAGAGGGTGCTAAGGTCTGGTGACCTTCCTTTGCTTTGAATCTCATTGTTCCTACCTCCCCCTCTCTTCTTTCACAGCCTACATCCAAGTCACCAGCAAATTCTGTCTGCCCAATTCTGCTCTTGACACAGACTAGGGATATAGAATTTTACATTTAAAACCTTAGCAGGCCAGGATTTCTGCTGTGTGTGCAATTTTGTCATCTGCCCTCAAGTTTAAAAAAATTTTAAAAAGAATTAAAAAATGTCAAGATGAAACAAAGTGGGATGTTGAAATACTGAACTTTTTCCCTAGTTACACTTAGAATTTTGAGAGCTTCTGGTCTTGGGCTGGGGATGTAGCTCAGTGGTAAAGCACTTGCCTGACGTGTACAAGGCCCTGGGTTCCAGCCCCAGCACCACAGAAGAAAAGAAAAAAAGAAAAAAAAAGTTCTTCTCTTCTTTATCATAAAATCATATTCACATATGATAAAAAGTCTACATACTACAAAATATTGTAAAGAAAGGTAGGAATTCCTTTCCTCCCTCTTCTGTTCATTTCTGTAATTCTGTTTCTCAGAGATAACACAGCATTTCTGTGCTTGAGCCAGTACTTGGGTCAGATATAGACAGAAGGTTTAGTAATTATGTAATGTAAATTTCCATTGTGCATTTATTCTTTGGGAATCAGATCACAAAATATTTAGCCTTCATCATAGCTGAATGGCTTTAATTTTGTTTTGCTTTTTTTCTGTTGCCGGGGATTGAACCCAGGTCCTTGAGTGCCATAGGCAAGTATTCGTTCACTGAGTGGCACCCCCAGTTTTAAATATTTTTTCATAAATGACCAAACAGTGGTTAAGAAGAGCCCATGCAGTGGACTCAGACTGGCTGTGTTTAAATCGTGGCTTTTCTATTTGTGTGAGCTGTGATTAAGTTATCATTCCTGTGTCTGTTTTCTCACCTGTAACATGGGTGTAATGGCAGCCCCCCCTCCTAGGATTGCTCAACAGATGAAATGATTTATAAAACACCTAGAACAGTCTGAGGCATAAATGTGCTAATTGTTCCATTAATGCTATCTGTTATGATATTCTCTCAAGTGTGTAACTTAATCTTCCTGAGAGTATGATAAATTCCCTTATCTGTGAAATGGGAATATTTACATCTGTCTCAGAGTTTTTGTTCAGTTAAATGAGGTAAATACATCTAAAGAGCTAGGTATTTGCCTAGTACATAGCCATCAACATTTTTAGCTTATCAGATTTGGCTGGGTTTACAGTGACCTAGTAACCCTGCCCGTACCACGTAGAGTGCTGCAGCAGGAATGGATCAACCAGGCAGGCAGAGGCAAGGGAGGGACAAAAGGCAGGCCTGGTAGAGCCTCCATGCCAGGCAGATGGCATGGGCAGAGGAGGTGCCTCTGGTGTTTGGATACCCACAACTGCAGTCTCTTCTCCCTCCATCTTACCCATCTCTTAGCGGATGCTCAGAACATTGCAAAGAGAGAACCAGTGAGATGTAGCTCCTGACCAAGGTGTGTGTGTGTGTGTGTGTGTACACATGATGGAGGGGACAAGATGACAGAGGAAACTCATGAATCCCTGGTTTTAGGGCTTTTCTCTTGGCAGTACTGGGGTTTGAACTCAGGCACTTACCACTTCAGCCATATCTCCAGCCCTTTCTGTCTTAATTTTTCAGGTAGGGCCTTGTGTGTTTGCCTGGGATCAGCATCAGATCCATCCTCCTACCTATGCCTCCCGCTTAGCCATGATCACAGGGGTGCACTGCCACGCCCAGCCCTGTATCTCGCTTTCTTCCAGCAGCTTGACATTTTACTAATGCACTAATGGTCTGACACTGCTGCCATCACACTTGCATTTATAATGGGCTTGGTCTTTGTCCTTTCCTAGGCCAAAAATTCATGCAGTTCCCAGAAAGTTGGGTGTAGCCCCAAGTTCTAGACTCCATCTCATGTGTTTCTTATCATATTTCTCACTCAGATTTGGAACCTGGCTTCAAACAAACTCACATTTTTGAACTCCTATAAAATGAAGATGTCAGTTATTCTGGGAATTGTCCAGATGGTTTTTGGTGTTATCCTTAGCCTCTTCAATCACATGTAAGTTTTTGGAGTCACCCTCTGCCTCTTGGTCTGATGGCAGTGACAGTGAGGCGAGGCAGAGCCACCAGATCAGCTCTGTGTCACTCTGGGTCACCTCCTTCCTGGAAGCTCTGCTTCCCTGTGTATCCTGTCCAGCAGCACCTCTGTTTCTGTTGAGCAGAGTCTGTCAAAAGTGAGTATACCCCTCACCTGGAAAGCACCTGAGGGTTCACCAGGAAGCAGAGGAGCCCACAGCACTTGTGTGCCCCCACTTGAAAGGCCAAGGGTGGTGCTGTATCCAGGCTCAGCTCCCACCCAGTGGGCTGATGGGAACTTGGTGAATTCTGGCTAACATATTCCCAGTTCTGCATCCCACTGGTGTCCTTTCTTCTGACTGACGGCCACCTTTCTCCCACTTATCTGCTCATGTTGATGGGTCTATTTTTTCCTCCTATCAAGATCTATCAGTGAAAAGTTTCTTTTTTTTCTCTGTGCTGGGGATCAAACCCAGAGCCTTGCACATGCTAGGCAAATGCTCTACCAATGAGCTACATCCCCAGTCTTGGAAAACTTTTATTTATGCTAAAAGTATAAATGTTTGAGCATAGCCAACTGTGCCTACTCAACGTGTATTTTGTGGACATGGAGGCTGACGTTAAAGGCCACTGAAATTCTACCTGCCATTTAGATTAGTAGTAAGTAGGGTGCCACAGGAATGACACAGGGTTTAGGATCAGAAGCTTAAGTCCCAGTTCCAACTTCTAGTCGCTGAGATGACTAATTGACATCTCTGAGATGATTTTTTAAATATACAATGGGAATACCTCGTTGGAATGGGTTCAGTTATTGCATAATAAACATCCCTTGAGTCTCAGTGACTTATGACCATGACACACTTGGCTCACTGGGGCTCTACTTCTGTCATCCTTCCACTGGGATCTGGGCTGATGGCAGCTGTCACCCGGAGTCCTGTAAGTCGGCATGGTAGAAGGAGGGTATCAAGTTGCCAGTGTTTCTTAGAGCCTCCATCCAGAAGTGAGACATACATTTCTGGTTCCATTCCTTGGTGAGAGCTAGTCACAATGGTAACCTCGACTTGAGAGTCCATCCAAGTACAGTTCTACTTGGAAAACCAGAAATATTTAGCAAGTAACTAACAAGCACCTTTCACTACTGCCTACCAGAAAGGGCGAGAACATGAACTGAAAGATACTAGGAAGTGCTTTCTGGACTGGAGCAACGCAGGCCATTGGTACCATTATGTGTCTGGTTGCCCTCACTGTCACCTGTGATCCTGTTTTATCATGGGATTCCCCCTTTCCCTCAGACAGCTCTTACCATTAACAAAGGTCAGAAGGGCCTTCTCTGGCCTTCTGTCTTGGGAGTCCCCCTCTTAGCCTTGTAGGCCTTTGTTTTGTAGAACAAGATCCTGCAGACTTTCTATTTAAAGGGCCAGAGAGTGACTGATACAGCTTCAGCTGCAATTGCTCCATTCTGGATTGTGACAGATCAGCCATAGGCACGTGTAAACAAATGAACATTGCTGTGTGCTGATAAAGTTTACACATACACTGAAGTTTGAATTCATATACTTTTCGTGTACCATAAAATATTCCTCTTCTTTTACTTTTCCCCCCTGGCTATTAAAAATATCAAAAGCATTCTTAACTTCCAGGCTACACAACACAGGTGGTGGGCTTTATCTGGCCCACGGGCTGTGGTTTCCTTATGTTAGAGCCTTCTTGAGAGAAAAGCTCTCAAATTCTTGTTAATACATCCTTTTGCCTCCAGATGTGTTCAAGGGAGCTAGGTGTGCATGTGAATCTGTGATCCCATGACCAACTCTAGATGTGGGGGTGACCTTGACTTTAGACATTACCTCCTAGACCCAAGTTCTCTCTGAATGTTTTGTAAAAAGCACTTTCCAATATCTCCTTTCTTTTCTTTTCTGTCCATGCATGGCTGCTGTTTGCCAGGGGAGTTCTACTGTTTGGCATAGTGGTCAAAAAAGAAATGAACATTTTGTGCTTTGAGGATTTATGTGGACGTTCCTTCCGTGTGTTGTGTTCTGTGTGCGTTCTCCCCCCCCAGATACTTCAGAAAAACTGTGAACATCATCCTGCAGTTCATCCCTGAGATGATTTTTATCCTGTGCCTGTTTGGATACCTGGTGTTCATGGTCATTTTCAAATGGTGCCAGTATGACGTTCACATGTCCCAGCATGTTCCCAGCATCCTTATCCACTTCATCAACATGTTCCTGTTTAACTATGCCGACCCCTCCAACGTGCCCCTGTACAAGCATCAGGTATGTTCTTGTTAGGCACTCGCTTATGTCCAATCTGTCTCACACGCTGAGGATTGCAGAGTGGGTATCTGCAAGACCGAGCCCTCCAGTGCCCCGGGAAGGATGTTAGAGTTCTTCTACTTGAATATGAAGCCACTGGGAGCGCCAGCCCTTCCTACTGGGATGATGCATGAGAAGCACTATTGCTGATGGGTTGAAAACTGGTGAGGGAAAAAAGAAAAAAGGAATTCTGGGCTGGGGACATGGCTCAAGTAGTAGAGTGTCTGCCTAGTAAGCACAAGGCCTTGATTTCAAACTCCAGGATAACAACAGAAAAAAAGAATTCTTTAAATTGATTGGCTTGGGTATAAAATGCTCCAAATAGCACCTTAAAATTAAATAATATTTTGATTGAAAAGCAAACTCTAGCTAAGGTTCATAAGAAAAGAGAATTGCAATAGAATCAAGGAGAGTGGTCCCTCTGTTTACACTGGTGGTAAGTTTCTGGATAATTATGAATTAAACTCATGTTATTATGTAAGTCCCATAACCAACCAGGGGGTCCATGCCTCCCACTTCCATGCCCTTCCCCCTTCTATGCCTTTCCACTTCCATGCCCTTCC